CCCCATCCCCTTGGAGCCCCCCAAATTGTTGTGACAAAGCTGTCAGGACTCAGGTTAGAACCTCACCCCTTCCTCTTGCTCCCCCATGGAAAACAGGGAGGTTTGGGGGGGCAGGTGTGGTGCTCCAGCTCCCAAAAACCTCTAAGGACACACACTCAGATCCTGCTGGGGTGGCCAAAAAATGCTCCAGGCCGGGAAGTTTTCCCTCCACAGCCAAATCCCGTCGGCCACAGCCCAAATCCCAGCGGCTCCAGGCCGGGTGGATCCCACAGCAGGCAGGACACGGGGCCCACGGAGGGTCTGGGGGTCCCGTGGAGATGGGGGGAAGGCTCTGCCCTCCCCAGCTCCATCCTGGAGCCGTTGCCAAGCTGGCACAGCCAGGCCCAAAGGCGCTGTGGGACACAATGGCACCGCGGTGGGCACACGGGGACACAGCGACAGGGACAGAAACTCCCGGGAAAGGCCCGGCCCGGGGCCGGGCGGGGGGGCAGCTGCAATACGGAAAAACCTGGAAGCGTTTGCCAGGCCCGCGGAAGGGAAGCTCGGGGTGGGGGAGAGAGGGAGGGGAGCCAGCGGCAGGCAGCAAAACACGCCGGGATCTTTGTGCTCGGCAAGGCCGAGCCGGAGCCCCGGAGCGGAGGTTTCATTAATTAATTAACCGCGGTAACGATGTGCGGTAATCACCTACAACGCGGGCAGGTAAGTCGGGCCCTGGCGCAAGCCCAGCATCCACCTCCCCTCCCCGGAGAGGTGGTGCCACATTCCAGGGATACGGCAGCACAATCGAGCATCCCCTACCTACCGAAGCCAGCTGTTCTCGCTGCGACAGCGTCGCGATCTGTCGCGACAGGAGCCGGGAGCTGTTGAGTCAGCCCTCCTCCCTCCCCCTTACCCGGCCGGACGCGTGCCTCCTGCCCTGGGCCATGCTGCCGCGCTTCCCGATGTGCAGCCAGCAGCTCTCACGGCCGGCAGCATCCAGCGGCGCTTCCCAGCATCCCGGCCGATCCCAGCATCCCCGTGCCTCTCCCCCTCCCTAGAAAGGGAGGAAAAGCCCTTTTCTGGGCGAGGATGCTCCGAGGGAGGGATAGGGAGAATTCCAGCGCTGCCGATGGAGCCACTCTGCGCCAGTCTGCCGCTCCAGACTTGTCACGGCGCCGGCGGCTCGCTGGGTCCTAAAGCTCCCCCCGCGGGAGGAGGCACCGGGATGCTCCCGGCCTCCTCCTGCGAGCCCCGTGCTGCCCACCGGGCAGGGACACCCCAAATTCCACCCGCCGTGACCCCAGCCCAAAGCTTGGCCCGCTTGCTTTTTGCCTTCGTGGAGAATTTTGCGGAAAAAACAACGCCCCGGAGTGCGGGGCTTGTCCTAAATCCGCGGGAGCAGCACCCTCCTTCCGCGGGTGGATGGAGCCCGAAGGGTTAATTAGGGAATGATCGCTAATTGTCCTGCTCCCGGCTGTGACAGGTGACATTGCGTCCCATTGTTCCTGGCTGAGCCGACAGAGCCCAAATTCGGCGCCGTTCCCGATTCCCAACACACGGGAGCAACCCCAAATCCCAGAATATCGGAAACGACCCACAGGATCAGGGATTTAATTCCTCACCCCTGCCCAGGACAATCCTGGGAATGCTCCTCAGGGAAGGAGCTTTAACAATGCTCAGCTGGGATAAACACCACAAAAAAAGCAGCTGGAAATTGGGAATTTCTCACTGGGATCGCCAGGAACTCAACCAGAGTCACCTCGGGTATCTGCTTCCCCTCTCCGCGCTGGTTTAAAGGAAACTTCACGCACACAAAATTCTCCAAAAAGGTACAAAGAGGACGAGCTCCTTCCCCTCAGCCACAGGTTCTAAACCAGTTTAGAATAAGTAGAAAATCTGAATTATTTTATCCACAGAAGGAGAAACCTCCTTTGGGAAGCTCACCCTGCTTCCCTGCCAGAATCTGGGAGCAAATATCACCTGTGCCACCTATTATTTATAGACCCACGGAAAGGTTTAGGTGGGAAGAAACCCAAAATCCCAATAATTCCACCTCCTGCCATGTGCAGGGACAGCTTTCACCATCCCAGGCTGCTCCAACCTGGAATTTTTCCAGGGATCCAGGGGCAGCCACAGCTTCCCTGGGCACCTCTGCCAGGGCTTCACCACCCTCACAGGGAAGGATTTTTTCCTAAAATTCCTAAATTCTAGAGGATTTCTGCTCTTCCTCTGCCCTGCAGGATCCTCCCCTGGGATCCTGGATGGTCCCAGGAGCAGAATTAGAGCCAAACACTTGGAAGGTGGGGTTGTGCTCCAAGGAGAGGCTGGAATGCCAAGAGGGAACTCAAATTCCAAAAGCTTCCTCTAAGTGCAAGGAAAACTGGGAAACAGGCGTGGAATTCCAGCAGGAATTCAGACGGGAGGAAGGGTGAGCTGTGGGAGAATTAGGGGAGTTCCTCCCTGCTCTTCCAGCAGGACAACCCCAAAATCCAGGAAAACAGCAGGCAGACTTTGCTCCCAGGTGGAGCAGAAGAGCAGCTGTGAATTTAAAAAGAGAATTATCAACGTCTCGCAGCTCCTGCCCCTCCTCTGGAGGAGTTTGCCACGTTAAACTGAATAACAAGGGGATTTTTTGCCACACAAATATAATTTTATAGGATCACAGGATGGTTTGGGGTGCGAGGGATGTCAAAGACACCCAGTGCCACCCCTGCCATTTCCAAGCCCTGTCCAACCTGGAATTTTTCCAGGGGCAGCCACAGCTTCTCTAGGAAAGCTGTGCTGAAAATGATGGAATTAGAGAATAGAATTAAGTTGGAAAAGCCTTTTTGAATCACTGATATCCCCATTTGTCTCCACAACAAAATCACAGGCACCGCTCACCACCTTCCTGCATTATTTACTGCTCGGATTTGGGATGAAAATGAAACCCTGAGGGAAAGAATCCTGGAAAATTCTGAGCTGGGAAAGAGCCACGAGGATCCTGAGCTTCAACAAGAAGCTGAGGTGGGACAGGAGCTTTATGAGAAATATGGGAAATTTTGGTAATTAAAGCTCTGTGAGATGATCCCCCCAACCTCCAGCAGGGCTTGGCTGCTCACAACCTTGGATTTGGAGCTAAAATTGCTCTGTACAAAGAGGAAAAATCCCAATTTTCCCCCAAACTCAGGCACTGCCATGTCAGGATGAAAAAAATCCCCAGGAGAAATAAACCTTCACGGGGCTTCCAAACATTTTTCCAGGGAAACACACCCAAAATCTGATTAAAGCTCTGAATTCCATTTCCTGGTGCACTGAGCAGGGATGG